GGGGGCTGGGGGCCGCCCTGGGCGCTCGGCCCCGGGCGGGGGGGCGCGGGGCGCAGCCCCCGGCGGCCTCGCGGGGACCCCGAGCCGGACCCGGGCTCCGCGCTTCCTCCCCGCCCCGCGAGCGAGTCTGGAAGGGGACTGTTTCTGCCCCGAAGGGAGGAGGACGCTGCCCCCCGTGCCCGGGCGGCGTGCCGGGGGCCGCTCTGCGCCTTCTGCGGGACCCGGGCGGGGTTCGCCAGCCCTCGCCCTGCCTTTTGTTGTGCGTGGCCTCCTCCGCGGGGGTGGGGTGAGGTGGGGGGGTAGATTCTGCAGGGCTGTGTGGGCCGAGGAGAGCACTTGCTAGGGAGTCGGAAGAGCCGGCTCGGGGCCCCTCGTGTGCTTGGAGCGCGGGGCTTTGAACCAGACTTCCTGGGGTCAGCCTTTTCTCCAGCCGTCTAGTTCTGTGACCTTGTGCAAGCCCTCCCCCCAAGTGTCCGTCTCCTCCTCTCCAAGTCAGACTGTGGGCACTGACTGCTCGAGTCCTCGGCTCGGGAGTAGTAGCTGGGAGAATCAGGAGCCTCCCTCCACGGGCGTTCTCCTAACTTGTGTTGTCTTCAGTTCGGCGGCGATGGGATCAAAGTGGCCACTGTTCACGAAGACGAACAGCCTTTGGAGGTAAACCCCGCTGTCCGGTTTTACGCAGAAGGAACTGATCCGCTGATGCCTCCAGCGCCTTCCTAAGGACAGGAGGAGAGCAGATGGCCCCGCGAGGAGCCCACTCCCGACCTTTTTTCGTTGAACCCATACCTTGCCAATCAGGAAGTGGTTGAAGCACCTGGGCTTCCTCCCTTTGGGGTGGGGGGGGGCACCTCTCAGTCCAGAAACAGGCCCTCCAGGTGCCCAGCACTAGCTGGGTGTGTCCGCCAACGGAAATGTTTGTTCCTCTGTCCCTTCCTAGGACCCACGGTCACCTTTTTTTTTCAGCCAGCCAGTTAATGTCACTTGTTACTAAGATGACCTTGCAACTTACCATCCAAACTGAAACCGCTCTGGGAGTGAATTATAAAATATGCTATTAAAAAGTTAACCAGGAAAAACAGATACAGACCTGAATGGGTAGTCACCCGACTTAGAACAGAGAGTGTCCTTGGATATTTCTAGAATCTAGACGAACCCACTTGTTTTGCAGCCAGGGCCAATAAAACAGACGGTTTTCTCAACCAGCAGCGATTACGTCGGGTTAAGAAAGCCCTTTTAGTTTTCTATGATCAGAAACCGGGTGGACTGATCAAAGTCTTTCCGTGGTAACCCAGGAAAGCACCCTACTCTTATGTAGCTCCAAAAAACATATTAGGACAGGTCAAACCCTTCCCTCCGTACCTAGTGGATTCATGAAACTGCTCTAGGATTGGGATTTTTCCCCAAAGCTACTTGGAACCCGGGGTGGGGGGCTGTTTCCCTTGTATATATGTGTCTTCTCTTTGCTGGACACCTTGTACCCCCTCGAGGAACTGGTCACGTGTAGAAGTTTCCACTATGTTTGCATTAGCTTTAAAAACTTAGAGGATTAGGGGCGCCTGGGTGGTTCAGTGGGTTAAGCCTCTGCCTTCGGCTCAGGTCATGATCTCAGGGTCCTGGGATAGAGCCCCGCATTGGGCTCTCTGCTCGGCGGGGAGCCTGCTTTCCCTTCTCTCTCTCTCTGCCTACTTGTGATCTCTGTCTGTCAAATAAATAAATAAAATCTTTTAAAAAATAAATAAATAAAACAAAACAAAAACTTACAGGATTATTTTCTTGGTGTCTCCTCCTACCCAGACCCTTCCCAGGACTGCCTCCGCCTTCTTTTCAGGTTACCTGACTTTCAGCCGTGGCCCATTCAGTCCACAAACACTGGACACCTACCGTGTAGCGGCCCCTACACTAGGCACCCGCGTTACAGCAAAGTAACGAAGTCCTCGAAAGGGTAGAGCCCAGAGAGGCAACACAGCTGCACAAGCAAGTCGTCACAACGTCGTCCCTGGCATGGTGACCGCACGGAGGAAAGGAAGTGCCTCAGAGATAGTGGGGCGCACAGAACAGGCCAGGGGCAAGTGGGCGGGGTCACGTGGTCAGTTGTGATCAATGAAATGGGAGGGAAGTGATGTGCCTTCCTTTCAGCCAAGGCAATGCAAAGCACATCTGCGGTTCTCCATTCTCTCTTCCCCTGCTCTAAGCACTCGGAGATGGTTCTAGAGGGTGCAGCTCCAAGACGGTGGGGCCTCCGTAAGCCCAGCGGCTGGAGCGCACCGTGCATTGACCTGTACGGGACATGCGACAGGAGCCAGGCAGGAGCCCCGAGCCACACGGCAGACGGTCGGTGGTCTGTCACTGTAGCATATGGCCGTCCCGCTAAGTTAAGAGAAGGCGGCCCTGTGTGCCTCTCAAGTTCCTGGAATACGGGCTCTCTCTTTAGAAACCTCACTCGTTACCCTTTCCGACCCTCTCTGAAAATACAACGTGAACCCAAGGTACTGTGCGAAGTGTTTTTCATTACAGTGGAAATCGGGTGAGGGAAGCTGCTAACACGGGCTGAAGGGTTGGGGGGGCGGGGACGGTGGATGGAGCAGACAAGCGGAAGCCCGGGCCTGTAGGAAATAGCGCTCGGCTCTCATTGCCCGGCCTGGCTTCGTGGGAATTTAACAAAGAAAGGAGCCCGACGCTGAAAGAGAGCTGGTTGAGGGTTTGGGTTCCGGGAGGCAAGGTGGGACAGACAGGTTGGGCCAGCCGAGATTGGGGAAATAGGCTTTCCCTCCTTTCTCGCTTATTCTAGAAGGTGTATCCACCCCCTGGACTTTGAGCAGGTATAAAATAGCGGTATGAACACTATTTGGGTTTGCTTTTCTTTTTTTCTTTTTTGAACTGTGGCTCTATATTCCTTACATAAAACTTTCCATCTTAGCCATTTCTCCGAGCTGAGCTATGGCTCAGCAGAAGCGCCCACCACCCCCACCGCCTCACCCAGCTTGTCGCCTT